TTGTTTTAAATATTTATTCTCAATAAATTTGTCTCCAAAAACTAATCTATAGTTGAAAAAATTATTTCTGGTTGATTTGGAGAAGGGTCAAACATGTATAAAATTTCTTGAGTTCCAACTTTAAAATAAAGGTTTTTTGGTGTTACTCCCACACTAACAGCAAATTATTTAAAATTAGAACTCATGTCAAATATCATGACTCTTAACATTAAATGAAATACCAGTCAACATTAAAATAAACTTATATATTATGTTTTTTAATGAAAAACCAGAGCAAGTTGAACTAACAAAATAGTACCCTATTGAGTGTTTCCGATGTGTCTCTACTCTCTACATAATGAAATTCAATAATTGAAATAATTATAATAGAATAAAGTTTTTAATGACATTTCATCAACATATAACAAGCAATCTCTACCTTTTTGTTCATTGAGTTTTCTTTTAATGAAAGTATTTAAAAAACAAAATTACTGAGCCCAATACTGATTTTCCAATTTTCTGTAGCCTTCTGTGCAAAGTTCTTTAACTTGATAAACACCATAATTTTTTATGTAATTGATAATGATAAGTCTTAGCTTCATTAGAATGAACCATTCAAGCAAACTTTTTTTTCTGGTGTATACCTTTTATTTTTTGTTTTCGTTAAATAGAATCAAGCTTGATTTTTAATAAAATTACATATCGTTGGTTTACTAGTAAATATAGTATGTCACACATATTGTTGTAGTTTAATAATGCCACTGGTCCATCTAATCGGTCTTGTAGATTTGTATTAATGATTTTGAGATTTTCACATTTTTTAAAGCTACTTTCAATTGAATTTCGGTGTTATGTAATAATCTTTATTTTTATTTAATTTTTCTATGAGTGTTTTGAGATAAAACAAGTCTAGTCTGAGTTTTGGAATCTGTAATAAAATATTTTTGTTAGTTACAATTTTAATTTCAATGGGTAGTTTATAGGTAATACATATTTTTGAATTTAGGCGATAAAAGTATATGTGGTATAAACTACCTGAACTAGGTGTTGAGGTGTTGAATAACATAATGAAAGCCTTGATGAAATATCTGATGTTGAACATCATGATTTTGAAGTTCTAGGAAATAATTCAACCAGACTTAAAAAGAATATTCTGTGATATATACTTACTCATATTATATTATTTATTTTAATATAATAAATAATAATGTCTTAACTTTTAAATTTAAAGAAAAATTCGAATTACGAATACATAGGTATGTGAGAAACCAGTGTATTGTTTAACCGTGTACAGTAATGCAGTATAAATACCGGAATGCAGATTTAGACTATAGAACAGTGGTTCTCAACCTTTTTATGTTCACGGCGCATTTCTTATAAGTCATAACTTTCAACTATACAGTTTCACGGAACACTGTAGTAATGAAATAATAAGAAGCAAACAAAAAAAGGCATTTTAATTTTGATTATTATTTTTTATTATTAATGTACTATATAATTAAAAATTAATACCTAAAACACTATACGCATATGTACCACTGTTGCAGAATACCGCTTAAAAAACACTGCTATAGAGTATAAACTATTATTGAAATTTTGTATATCATTAAAAACAAAATAATTAATGAATTTACTCAAAAATCAATTGTTAATCAGTTCTTTAAACATAAAAAACGAATACGTTAATAAAACATGGATGGCACATTTATCGTAAAAAAACTATTAAAAAAAAAACTGTTATTTTTTACTAAGGATACCTCAACTTTCAAATAATAATTTCAATTATAATAGTGTTAATTTTAATTCAGTGCCTTAAAATACATATTTTGAAAATAAACAATAGCACTGGGGTTAACCGGTAGTTAGAACAAATAACGGTTAAACTAATTTAAATTTACTTACAGGTTTTAATCTTTCGGAAAACAATGAAATGTTACTTTGTGTTGACCTTCCTTATTTTTGTAAATAATACATATATTGGACATTTTGTAAAATTACAAAAAAAAAAAGATAAAAAATAATTGCAAGGAAACACGTGTAAATAATCAAAAGGCGTAAAAAACAACCGTTAAGACTAAAGTACAAGACATGTATCATTGAATTCCGCAATCCACAATGTTGACAAAACAAATAATTACATTTTTTAGTTAGCAATGTGACCCATAACCATAAAAAAGACGGGATGGATTGTTGGTGGCGATCCTGGAAAACAATTTTGAGTGTGAATTCCTAAAAAAAATAGGGGGGGGGGGGGTTATACAAATCTTAGTAAGTGGTGTAAAAAAAATATGATGAAATGATTTCCAAGTTGGCGTAATCCAAGAAAATTTTGGGGGAGGGCTAACCCCAAACGCCCCTCACCCCTTGATACACCATTATAATTTATATATATGATAGTGTCATAGAATAATATTCATAGTAATTTTTTTTTTAAATTATTTATTACCTAACTTACGGCTTCAACAACGAAGTCATAAGCCGAAAAATAAAGCAATTTACATTTTATGTTTTACATTATGATAATGTGTACATTCATCATAATAATTATAAACAATATAAAATGTTCATTGCTAATACGAATAACAGTAGTTATAACTTATAATAGTGAATATTATGTGAAATATTTAGTCAGTTATACAGATTAATCATTTTATGGAAATACATTAATAAACAAAAGTTTTTTATTTATTGATATATCTTCAAGATTCGTTGTTAGTGAAAAGATTTTTCTCTTCAACTAAGTTTAAATATTCAAGGAAGAGGTGTTTTATATAGATTAAAAATTTGTTTTTGAATTCACGCAAAGGCCTTGGTTCTTTTTTTATTAAGATAATGTAGGTAATGTTTGTGTTGTTTATTCTAAGATAATAATATGCAATGACATTAAAAAAAAAAAAAAATTGGTGGGTTGGTTAGCTGGTCTCGAGCTATCCGTACTGATAATATAAGTGTTCGTAACATAATGCCTTATCGCTCTGAAATGAAAAAAAATAAAAGTGTATGGGTGAGTGTCACATCTATATGGTTGTAATAGCACAAAAAATAGACAAAAATATTAAATTTAATCTGTTTGATGTTGCCTTACTGGATGGCTGTGGAGTTTTATTAAAGACGAAATTTCGTCTTAAGGCTTTGTTGTAATTAACTCGGTTGCTTGGCAATTTGTAATTTTAATTTCATTACATTTTAGATACCGATTAATCCGACATTTAATGGACTGATTTTAAAATGACACTAAAATAACTTCCATTTTTTTCTCTGTTAATTTTCTTTTAAAGTAAATGAAACCTAAATTATTGTCTTACACAACTTCTTCATTACGATGAACACTAGAAATGAATATATACAAACTGGAATAATTGCAAACTAGCTAAAATTTTATATTCCCTATAAAAATTATTTTTATTTTTTTTTAATGTGTTATAGTTATATTATATAATATCCAAGTTACGTGCAAGATACCATTGCGCATGCGTACCACTAGGGTTGCATTCCTGTATTTTAACACTCCTTTAAAATTTACTGGGAGAAGGGTAGCGTCAAAAAAATGATAAGGAATTATTATCTCAGGTGGTAGACAGTGATACCAACGTTGAAAACAAAAAGTATTATTTAAAATAATCACAATTATTAACAAATTACTAAATAAATATTGCAATATACTAATTAATAATTTTATAATTTTTTTTTTTTTTACAAATTTCAATATAAGTTATATTTAATATAATTAAAAATGGAGAGAGTAAACCGAACCCACAATTATTTTTATTACCACCTGTCCAAGATGTTCAAGAAGCAGTAGAATATAGGCTTGTTGACGATTGGAACAGTTCCTATACATCGACATACATTAATTCCTGGTGTTTATCGAAATGAAGAAGTTATGAGAGATATATTATAAAAAATTTAATTAATATATAGTGTGAAACTTATTCAATTTACATGTACTATACCTGAATGTTATTTTAAATAAAAGATGATGTCATAAAAGTTACAAATATTGTTTTAATATGAAATCAAAGTTTAAAATCGACATTAATTTAATTTTGTTTATTGATAAGTTTTTTTGTCCGATTTCAATTTATAATAAATCATAAATTTGATGATTTTTATATCGTCGTACAATATTGATTTGACTGATATTTATTTTTTAATCATACTTCAAAGCTTTCAACCTTTCAATATAATAAGCTTCTTTATATATATTTTCTATTAATAATAAAATAAAAATAAAAAAAATAAATAACGAACACCAATAAAAATATATAAATTTAAATTTTAGATAAAATTTGATTTTTCAGAAGAGTTTAAACGATTTTATCGATTTTCATATCTCTGATAAAATATAAAAAATATAAATTTGATATGCTCTGATGAAAATAATAAAAATGAAAATTGAAAATTAATAGTTCATTATATGTAGATAAATCTTAATTTTAGAAACGACAGTACGTTTCACAAAACTAGCGACTCCGCAGTGGCGCTTCCGGGGCAGATTTTCGTAAGGGTTTCCAAACGTATGACTAAAAAAGCGCAGTAATTTAAAAATGACGCGGCAATCAACCATCGAACAGCTGTCCCTGTTGATATGATTTTTTAAAAATAATATTACCTACCACTTACAAACATTTTATTTATTAACATTTTACACCATGATTAACACACAATCGCATAGTGATTGGAGCATTTTACTCCATGATAAACACACGTATTACTGTTGATAACGATAAAAACCACATTATTTTGTTGGTATGTTTACTCCGTTCGAGTTGTCTAGTTATCTATTTTAGACGATTGTTTTTATCGAAAACTTTTGTGAGTTTTTATTGTGTTTGTGGTTGCATTGCATATAAACGTGTTCGAGAAAGTGCGCGAAAAAAATTTTGAGCAAAATGTCTATTCGACCTGACATACATTCTCAAACTAAAAACACAATTTTTAATGTGTACAATTTTTTTAAAAAGTTAGTAAATGACAAAAATAATCCCGTTGTAGCTACATTTTTTCGAAAAAGTCAGGAAATGACTGCAGTAGCATGTGGTGTTAGTATTGGTACAGTGAAACGAATAACTTCTGAAGCGGCCAAATCGACTACTGCAGAACCCATGGCTGGTCCGTCATTTACATCTCCTCGAAAATCATACAAACGTATTAAATATGCAACCGATATTGATGATTTTGACGTAGAAATTGTTCGAAGAACGGTACACGAATTTTATGATCAAGGTCAGTTTCCCACATCACAAAAAGTTTTAACTGCTTACCAACAAAAAGTGAACAGTTATAAGGGATCTAGGATTTCCATGTGGCGCATTCTTAAATCCTTACATTTTAAGTACAAAAAATGTAATGATGGCCGTAGATTTCTTATGGAACGAAACGATATTGTTGCCATGCGTGTCAAGTTTTTAAGGAAAATGCACGACTTAAGGCAAAATAATGATACTCGTCCGGTCGTATATCTTGACGAAACGTGGGTGAATCAAAACCATTCACGTGGAACAATTTGTCAAAACTCGGAGAATTCAAAAGGATTAAAAGTACCAACTGGAAAGGGCAGTAGAATTATTATTTGTCATGCTGGGTCGAGTGCATTTGGGTTTGTAAAAGGAGCAAAATTAATATTCCTATGTAAATCGGGGGCAAATATTGATTATCATACTCAAATGAACTCGACAATTTTTAAAAAATGGTTCATTGAAATGATGCAAAACTTGGAAGAACCTTGTGTCATTGTAATGGACAACTCTCCTTACCATTCTGTTCAAGTTCAAAACTATCCGAAATCAAATGACAATAAAGCTACTTGTAAAATATGGCTCAAAGAAAATGGTGTGGAATTTGATTCATTTGAAACACTCAGTGAGTTGCGAGAACGGGTAAAACATTTAAAACCGAAAGACAAAAGATATGAACTTGATGAAATTGCTTTGCAAATGGGGCATGAAGTTATACGTCTACCCCCATATCATTGTCAATACAACCCGATAAAATTGATATGGACCCAAGTTAAAAGTGAAATTGCAAGTAAAAACAATAGTTTTAAAATCACAGATGTTGAAAACTTGGCAAATATTGCCATAGAAAATGTTACTGTAGACAACTGGAAACGTTGTGTTGATCATTGCGAACGTCTTCAAAATGAAGACTATATTAAAGAAGGATTCAGGGACCAGATTTTAGAGCCAATAATTTTGACAATTAACCCGGAAGACAGCAGTGAAAGTGAGAACGACGACGATGAATCATTTCAATTGTAAATATAAATGTTATAATTATTGTAAATATTCATGTTCAAATATTATAATTGTTGTAAATATTAATGTAATATAAACACATTTTAATATATATAAATATATATATAATACAATATTATATATTATAATATAATATATATTTATAATATAAATTAATATTAATTTTGTATTAAAATATCAAAAGAAAATGTATATTTTAGTATATTATAATAAATAATATAATTTATAATAAAATAATTATTTTTATTTATATTTTTTAAAAATCAAGCAGTATTCCTAATTGCCGCGTATTGTGTGCAAGTTTGAGAAACCACGGAACACAGAAATTTCGCCGCTGGGTGCGCTACTGTGGAGTCGCTAGTTTCGTGAAACGTACTTGAGGTGGATTTATCCACTTTACATAGAATCATTGATTATAATTTATAAATATTATAAAAATAGTACTTTTTAATCATTGATAGAAATAATAATATCAGTAACCAATTTTCATTCTCCCAACTATAACATTTTATACTCTGTCTAGTGAGAGAACGTAACACATCCAATCGGTCCTGTTTCGTGCATCCCCTCACGTATCACGCTTATAGTTAAAGATGCGAAAAAAATATCGAAATGTCAATATTTTATGATAAAATATCGATATTTAAATTTCGATGTTTTGTTTTGATTAGATGATGACAGAGGCTGGATCCAGAAATTGTATACAGGAAGGGACCTAATCACAGCAAAAAAAAAAAATAATAATAAAAAATATAAAGTAATTTGATAAAAAATAGCATAGAAAGAGCTCAATTACAATGTTATTCAAAAAATTGTCAAAATCAAACTATTTTAATTTTTAAATAAAATTAATATCAAAATCGATATATCGTTGTTTTTGGGAATATTATCAATATATCAATATTGTAAAAATTGATATATCGATTTTCTCATCCCCTACTTACAGTACTCTGACCAGAGCGCCCTTCGACAAGCGGTAGATTACGGAGCGTTAGCGTCGCATCGATCGGTAAATTCAGAGAGTAGGGACCTCGGTAATCCAATCATTCGATCGCCAGTTCGCATGCGCAGAACCAAAGCGTACTTTGGTTAAACTGAGTTTTATAGTCAACACTTGCTCAACACCAACATTTATTTTGTGGAGGTTATAACACATGTATGGTCTACACGGTTATAACATTTGTACTTTAGAAGTTTATTTACACTGTCAGCGGGTTGCGGTATTCAGTTTAACGAGCAACGATCATTTGAAAAGGAATAAAAGGTTTAAAATGATGGGCAGAATCCAAAATCGTCATCAATCAGAATTTAAACGACGCCTGAAACTTGTCCAACCGGCTTTGAATCGCATTATGTCGTTACTCTATCGTAGTTGCTTGTCGCCAGAAAAATTGGTAAGTTCTCAGATTTACATATCTGGAAAGTGCGCGGCTTGGCTAGTTGGTCGCGCCGATGAATTTAACGTGTTTGACATTTTTGTTATGGGTTACAACCCTGAAGATTTTAGTTTTTCTGGGTTCTCAGAAAGTAGCGATCGTTTTACCGCCAAGTACACCCGGATAATAGAAATCCAAACAGACGGTACTGATTTCAGTCCACCTATAACGTTAATATTCTCGGATTTTGATTTTTCGGCGGTATCAGTTTTTGTCAACCTATTCAATCACGAACTAATTTACACCTATGACTGTCCGTGCGATTACGGGAGGTGCACGGTAACTAATAACGGCTGCCTGGAACACGGTGAAGTGAATTATCCACAATTATTTGATTTGTCACCCGATGAAGACAGGCTAGAGGCTTTTCCAGAGTTGAAGCTTCGAAATCAACAGCGTTTATGCAATAATCCACACAATCGTGACAAGTATGTTTCTCTAATGGCTTTTGAACCCAGTCGCGAGAATGAGTATTCTAAGCGCTTGTTTCCCAAAAATTTGACTACCAGTAAACCTCGCGACCTGACAGTGTCATTTTGTGAGTATAAAAAGGTTTGTGGACTCTGTAGTCGTAGCAATTATTTGGCGGCCAAGTATTTTGGTTCTTGGAAACTTAAAACATTCCCAATGCCACATGGTTATGGAAACAAAACAGTTCTTGATCGTAACAATGCGGACATGGTCAGTTATTGTACATGTAAAAATATACCATCAGCATGAGTATTACAACCAATTCGAAGAATCCGGGGTATGTAAATTTAGATTTCTGTCTGCTACCAATTTATATTAACAATTTTTAAATTATGTTATTATCAACTTACAGTGTACAGAATGAAAGAAGGCGAACCATATTCCTATTTCTCAAGAAATCAATAGCGTGATACTTGCAGATAGTACATTGAACCCTGATTTACCCATATTGAATAAACTTTAGTTTGGCTGAAATTCTTTTAAAAATTATCCAAGCAAATTATTCCTTATTTCATTAAATAGGTAATGAAATAAAAATAAATTTTATTTTAATTTAAACTATGAAGATATGGTAAAAAATTATTATTGTACAATTAACACTGTTAAAAAAAAAAAAAAAAAAAAAAAATCAAAATTATGATTTAAAACTACATAAATTTAAAGTATAACTAAATAAAATTATAAATTAATTATTCAAAAATGAAACAATTTAAAAAAAAACAAATTTTTTTTTAGCTTATAACAGGAACATCACAATTCATTTTTTTTATCTAGTTAAAAAATTAACTCAAACTTCTTAAGATTGTTAATTTTTCATATTGTAGATATAATACATAATTTTTTTTGTATTTTTGATTTTTAACTATTCTGGATATAGTATCAAGATTAATGTAAAATTTAACGTTGTTTTATTTTTTGTAATATCTATAGTAATACTTAAACAATAACTAAAATTAATTTTTTGCTTATTTTAACATTACATAAATTACGATGTTTTAGATATAGTTTTTAGTGTTAATGTTATCAGTGACAGTTCAAACGTAGGTACTAGGTAGTATAAGAAATTTTATTTTGCATAGATTTTGTTAGTATGTTGTATTGTTAAAACAATACCAGTTACGACTAAAATATGTATTTAATTATAAAAATTTCATAAGTTCTTAATTAGCCAGTAAAATTAATAACAATACTGTCAATACTTATATTATAATTTATAAGTATTAATAAATTATTGTACTTCAACATTAAACATTTTTTGTTCCTTCTGAATTCTATTCTTTGTAAGTACCTAAAATTAATTAATCATTATTTATACCCAGTAATTTCCATAAAATTCAAACTTTTTCATATCCTAATTAGTTAAACCTAGATTAGGACATTTAATTTTGACTCAAAACTCTACTAACACAACAATCAGTTCATTAGGAATGTTTCTGAATGCCTATTAATCATTGATTTTTTTATTAAAAGTATGTTTAGCTTAAGATAATTTATTGTATTAGTTAAAAAATTACTTTGTATACAATTTATTTTTATATTAATAGTAGTCATTTTATATTTTTATTTTTAAAGAATAATATTGGATATATTAAAAATACATTTACAAATAATAAGTCATCCCAAATTTTTATAAGATAATTTCTAATATGTCCTCTACAAATAAGACAGTTTTAAGACAATTATTTCGTTTTTTATTTTAAGTTAACATAATTATTGTAATTTTTTTTAAATATGTAAATATTTCAATTCAGTTTTTTCTTATAAGTATAATATCGCATTGTAATGTCTTTAACTTACCCAACACTGATAGGTAATATAAATAGTATAGTTTATAGAATATAAGTTGTGTTATCCAATGACTTCGAATTTGTATTCATTTTTAAAAATAATTTTAGTAATACACCATTTTAATGTTAGACTTTTTTTAAAAAAAAACAAAAATCAACTAAAAACATTTTTTAATAACAAAAATGTCTATTTGTATAAATAAAGATAATTAATATTATTAATTGTAGTTTTCATTTGGATTACAACATTTGTAATTAATTTATACTTATCGAATAATAATTATTAACTTTACTATTCACCGCCTGATATTAATGTCATTATACCATTTTTTAACAAGTAATCACTGAAAATCATTGATTTCTTTTTAATACACACTGGATATATGTCCTGTCATCTATATTTTATCATAATGAAAAGTTATTATTTGTTTTTTAATAATAATAAAATTTATTTATATATAAATGGTTAGGAGTTCTAAATTATTTTAAATTTTTATTCAATATGGAATATTTTAATAAAAGTAACATAATTTAATTCACATTTTTTATTTAATTTAATGTGTTGTTAAAATAATACAATACATACATACATTTTCTTGTTTTTTTTTTAAAAAAATTTATTTTTTAATAATTTAAATTCAATATTTTTACCAACAAAAAAAGCCAGTGCAAGTAAAGAAAAGGTAGGATTATAGAGTACAGAGCTCTATGGAGATATAGGAGGTTGATCAGCTAAAGAAAAATGATTATATTGGTGTTTGGTTAACCAAACAAATAAAATAAATTTAACAATTAGGTGGTCGTTAATACTTTGATTGATGACAAAGTTAAAATATTTAAAAAGTAAATTTTTTTTTTTATAAAATGAGACCATTTACTGTCTCATACTTTAGATTCATTGAAAAACATCTTGTACTAGCTACTAAAAGAAGGTAGGTAAATTATTATATTTAATTATATAAATGCATTACAAGTACTTAATGTATAATTATATTCAATATTACAGATTTGAATGTTATTTTACATATTTGTGGCTGTAAAATGTGGGTTGCAGGTATTGGCTTTTCTAATTTTTTGTTCAAAAGTAAAGAAGATTTAGAATTAGTTTTGGATGTATTTAATAAAATAGAATTTTTATTGGATTTCATATTTGAAATGAAATTACTGCCTACAATACATATTTTGGTAAATAATATGGTAAATAGTTCCATGAAAAAATGCTTGAAAATGCTACCTGAAGATAATAGGTAAATTTTATCTACTTAACAAATTCATAAGATGAAAAATTATATTTTTACTATAAATTGATTTAATATTTAATGATTTATTTTATTCACTGTGCAGACGACTATTATATTGTATATATAAAAAAAAAAAATGTACAAGAGTTCAAAAAGAAAAAGTCAAAGAACATACTATTCTCCGAGTAAAAAAATATATTTCAAAATATTCAAAAAGCCAAGAAAATTGTTGTTCAATAGTATTCTAGAAGAAGCAAATACTAAGATTACAGCAAAGTTTAAATAACTGCAGAAAACATTTGAATGAAATCACGGTTTATCTAAATTACTAGCAAATCATACAATTCCCAAAAGCCAATGTGATCTTGTACATTAGATATTTGCAGCATCCAAATTTAAAAATAGTAAAAATAGAAGATATAATGAAAATTGGATACTTACTTTTGTGTCTTTTTTTTTTAAATTAGGTAAACACTAGCCACTATGCTCATAATAAAATACTATTATGATTACATATTTTTCCCTTCTTTTGTTATTTAATTTAGATCTCCTAGTGGTTACAAATTTTTGAGAGATGATAACATACTTCCATTGACATGAGTAAACACAGTTCAAAGAAATCTTTTAGCTATTCAAATTGGTTGTGGTTTTAAAGTTCACTATCAAAACTGAAAAACAGAAAATAACTGTTCTTGTTATTTAATGAAGTTTTCTTACGAAAGAGCATAAATGATAACAGTTGTATTTTAACATATACTGGGTTAGAAGACTATGATATGAAAACAGAAAATAAAATAAATAGCTCTAAAAAAAGCCAACCATAGGTTGATTTTAATGAGCCAAAGTTTAGGAGATAATTTCACTCAACCCATAGCTGTTTTTGTATCAAAAAGTCTAGTAAAAGGTATCAATAAATTATTAATTACATTAATGACAGAAATCCTAAATTGTGTTATATTTTATTATTAATTGATTAATAATGTTTGGTGTTGTAGGTGTAGATCTTGTAATATTATTATTAAAGCTATAATACTACTGGAAAATGCAAGAGCAGAAGTCGTTGCCTTGACTAGTGATGAGGCAACTACTAACCGTACTTGATGGAAAGAACTGAGAATAAGTGTTAAAAAGGAAGATTTCTAAAACTATTTTGAAAATCCTTTTGATTTCAGTAGAAATATTTTTGTTTTTTCTGTTGCGCCTTATTTAATGAAAACTGCAACCATTTATATCAGAAAAAAACAACTGAGGGTATATATTATTTAGTTGAAATTGAGCATTTT